TCTTTTATATGCACTTGGCGTATGTTTTTTTCTTTTTTTAAAAAAAGGTTTTTTATGGGATCGGTTTTTTCTTGATACTACCATTCGATAGAGAACGCCGAAATAAGCATTCCTAATCTACAAATGTGGTATCGATTTTCGACTTTTCAACAATATCCAAAATCGGTTTTTTCTCGTTACTACTATTCGATAGAGAATGTCGAGATACGCATTTCTAACCTACAAATTTGGTATCGAATTTCGAATTGTGACCTCGAAATCCAAAATTGGTTTTTTCTCGTCACGACCATTCGATAGAAAATGCCGAGATACGCATTTCTAACCTACAAATTTGGTACCGATTTTCGACTTTTCACTTCGAAGTCGAAAATCGGTTTTTTCTCGTTACTACCATTCGATAGAGAATGCCGTGATACGCATTTCTGTCCTTCAAATTTGGCACCGATTTTCGACTTTCTTCCATATTGCGTAATCGGTCCATTCTTGCCATTGTCATTTCAACCTGCATGCGAGACATGTTCAGCCGCCTTTCGACACACCCCTGACTCTCGATTAGGTTAAGACTTAGATTTAAGACCGGCTGCATAATGGCCGAAGGCTCCTTTGTGCATTACTATAATTAAAAATTAAGATTCATCCTTCATTGTGCCACCGGCATGCAAGCATGCTCGTCCGCTCCTCGGCGACTCAAAAACCACATAGCCAACGGGCATGGTTATGATAGGTTAGCATTATGTTAGTGTTAAGTAAATGGCAGTATAAAGGCAAAAAGCGCAATGCGCAATGATCATTAGTTGTTATGGTGAGTTAACCGTTTAGTTAGTTGAGAACTTGTTTTTTTATATTCTCTGCAGTGTCAAAAAGATTTTTTGTTTTGTTTATTAAGCATCGCGATAAGTTACCGACCGCATAATGGCCGAAAAGCGAAGAGCCAGTTTAACCATAGATGATAAGGCAGTTTTGTTTCTATCTTTTTTCTTTTGTTTATTATCAACCTTCGGTAAAGATGAGATTAATATTAATTTCAGGCTCCATAAACAGAGTGTAACGTCCGCCGGTAAAAATAATAGCGAACGTACTTTCTCTAGTTTGTAAGAGATTTCGCTACTTTTTTAAAGTAGGATACTCCGCAGTGAGAATAATATTACTTTGATAATGTAATTTTTATTTTGTTATACAATAATTATGTTATATTACCATAAAACAAATGACCTAACTTAATAATTTGTAAATATATGTCTTTGTAATGTTCTGCTTACTGAAATATTTTATATTCATACTTTTATAGTTATAATCTTTATGAAATATATATATATATA